ACTGGAAACAGGGGGGAACAGCTGGCCTAGCTCTGTTCAAATGTAACAGAATTTGCCTAACAGCTCCTAATTACCACATTATATCTTGTTTTTTTTGTTTTGGTCAAAAACTGATGTTTAAATCTGTGGTTTAATGGGGCGTTATATGTATTTTCTCAGCCTGTTTCCAGTCTAAATACTAAGTTAGGCTGTGTGTGGTATTGATCTTCTTAACTAACTCTGCAATAATGCTAGTAGGCCTATATCCCAAAATGTCTAACTTTTTCTTCAAGCTATCACACAACACTCATTAATTCCTGACTCCACTATGACGTGTGCCCCAAATGTCCAGTCGCTCACACAACTGGTCCAGCCTCCAAAGGTTTCCCCTACAACACAAGAAATTGGGCCTTGTGCTTAGGGGTTCTGGGGGCCCAAGGGTGCCTTGTTTTACCAACAGTTCCAGTGCTGCAGCAAAAGACAGGCCACATTGTTATGCAACAGTTTAATGGGGATGAATAGGTTTCAGCACAGGCCCAGTGAATTCCTGTGAAAATGAAGGGAAGAGAGTAGCTGCTAGGTTAATCCCAGAGGGAGTCCCCTTGGGGCCTGGCCCTCACAACTCCTCCGTGTATTCCTTTTAACCTTAAATGTGTTGGTTGAATGTCTATCAGAGCCAGAGAGGGAGCAGAAAGGAGGAGGCTGGGTTCTGTGGGTCCAGCAGCAGAGCAGGCTGGTTAATCCCTGTAGCCCCAACACAAGGTCCAGCCAAAACTCCAGGGGTCCCCCTTCATTTTCCTACTTTGCTAACCTCTCAACTGCTAATCTTCTCTTAACTTCCTCCTCTCCTCCCTGCCAGCATGGCCGCCCTCAGGCACTGAGCCAACAGTCCCACTGTCTCCCTGTGGGTGACATCACTGGTTGGCACGGAGAAGCAGGGGGAGAATAATTAGGTTTAGATGGTTGAAGTAACTGTGTGTGTGTACGTTCATGTTGAGTGTGTGTGTGGTGATGTAGAACGGAATTTGCAAGGCTTTACTCAACATGAAGCACGTAGACGTTACAATCAATACTCAGCTGGAAACCATGGGAAATAAGGCATCTGAATGCTTTAATTGCAAGGTTTTATGTAAAAAATAATAATAATAAAGAAATAATGCTGTTCATGTTTAATGAGCGAGCAACCAAATGTAATAAATGTGGCCCTCTCATACACCAAAATCTATCTATCTTATGACAAAAAAGAAGTATTAAAGCCAGAGAGACATGAAATGAAGAATGTGTGGTTAGGTTTGGAGTTAACTTTGATGGTGGGGGAGGAAGAGAAGGAGGCCCTGCTTTAATAACTCACTATAGACTCCATACATGACCACCCCAGCAAAGCCCTCCGTTCACTGCCCTTCGTGCTATATACACAGCCTACTTAGAGAGAAGCTTTTGTTTGTGCGACTCGCTTTGTCAACCTCTATTTAGGTGCTTCTTTACAACAGACCCTGCCCTTTGAATATTAACTGTGTGATCACTCTTACCACACAAGCAGACGCTCAGGACCCTCTATCTTCGCAGTCTAGCTCCCCTGCACTCCGCTCCAGGGCTTTTGTGCCCAACCACAGCTATGGGTATACAGACTCTTGTGGTCTCTAATCAGCCAGTTAGGGAGAAATGTAGTTTCCATTGCTTTCTCTGACATCATTTATGAGGCGTTTGATTCGTTTCACATATGAGGCTCTAAGGACCAAATATGAGAGGAGTCTTTACATTTCACAAAAAAAGAGACAAAGAGATGCAAGAAAAGAAGGGGAAGAAAAGGGCTGATTTGTCTATGTTGCTGTATGTCACTGTGTCATTGTGAGCCTCTAGTGGAGTGCGACTGTAGTTCTGACTAGTGCAATGACTGTAGCAGCTGGGGCAGGAAGGTGACTGAGGGTGTGAGAGTCTGGGCTAGTGTTTTTGCAGGCCAATAATCCCCTTTATTGAGTCTCAGGAAATCCTAATTGGAGTCGGAAGTGGCTGAAGTGGACAGATGTGCGAAGACAAACAGAGTCAACCCAACCCCCAAGGACAACTGACCACAAGCACCACGGCCTCCCTTCCACCCTGCTGAGTTTAATTTAAACACAGCAGACACAAACAGACACACACAACACACAAGGACAACTGACCGCAAGCATCTCCGCAAGCATCCCCTTCATCCATCCTGGGGAACTTAACTTTATCACAGCACAACATGTGTGCACATGCATCCAGTGCCGCAAATGTGACAGCAGATAGCTTAGTAAACATAGCAAAGCATCAGCTGTGCCCTTAGGAAAGTCCACAAAAACAAAGTGAGGTACAGAGTTCAGAGTTATACCGTTCATCTGCTCTCTCAATCAATGATACCACAGGAGCCGTATCCAATATTGTTACAAAAGCACATAGTGGAAATTCTTAAATAATCAATGTACAGGGAGCCTAAAAAAGAGAGAAAGAGAGAAATAAAGAAAACTTTTAAACACACATGCCTGTTCTGACAGAGCTGAAAACCCCTGAAGTGAAACCTCCACAGATAGCTCTTCATAGCGCGTTTTTACTCACTCCACAAGTCTGACTCACTGCCCTCTCATGTTTCCGTCTCCATAATGTATGTATCATCGTCTAATGGCACGTCTGTGAACCCCCTAAAGTCACATTATCCAGCAGTGGCAGTGTGTGGAAGCCTTCTCTGCGTCTTTTACTATGTTTTCTAACATAATATATGTGTGGGAGTGGATATAATCTAAGTTCTCATGTTTGGAGCAGTCATCTATGAGTTAGTGTGAGCGCATATGTGTGTGTGTGTGTGTGTGTGTGTGTGTGTGTGTGTGTGTGAGAGAGAGAGTTTTGGGGAAAATAGGGCAAGATGCTAAGAGTGTGTCTGTGTTGTCTGTCTCTTGCTGTCTCTTCTTATCAGGCCGGCGGTCTGACCAAAGCCAGAGATCCTTGTCAGGCCGTTCTGGATAACTGCACGTGATCACAGTGCAGCTGGGAAACCAAGAGAGATCTGAGGAAGCTGGGTTTGATTAGAATACCTCCCCAGACCTGCTGTCCCAGTCTGGGATCAGGTATGTGTATGCGTGTGCGGTTTTCTCACGCACAGACACAGACACACTCACTCACACACACGCGCGTGCGCACACACACACACACAATGTCTATGCATGTGTTTAATACCCCCGCAGAGCCACAGTCACACTGACCTATTTCTTCCACCATGGAAATGGCCAAGACCATGGAGGACCAGGCTCACCAGAGGCAGAATAACACTAAGCCCCCAAACAGTTATATCAAAAGTTTCACATGGAATAGTTTTACAGCCACTTTTACACGCTATATAAATGGGGCATCTGGGCAAACAATCTATTGTATTGATGTCTTTACATCATTCATTTCTGAAGTGTGAAAAAACAGTTGCAAGCAGATGTCAGTGTATAGAATTTGATCACCATAGCAAGAGTACAATTAAAAAACAAATGCCATTTTTGTGTGTTTTGTGTGTGTGTGTTTTGTGTGTGTGTGTGTGTGTGTGTGTGAACACCTATGCTTATGTGTAAGTTAGGGGAGGAGAGAGCTAATAGCCCTAACCGTTACGTAACCCCTCTAGGACTTCAAAGCGAGATTAAGAAAGAGAGATGGCTAAAGGCTAAAACTTCCTGCACAAGTCTAAAGACTTGTTGCATTTGGGGTCTGAATACTTCATCAAGAAATATATCTATTTCTCACTATTGTATGTCTATGCAGTACAATTTACATGGATTCCCTCTCACACTCACACAACTCTCACACATGAACACCCTCATGCACATTCATTCACTGAAGAATGGGCAAAGTGAAGCATAGGCTCTGAAGCTCACTGTTATGCAAAGGGGGGCAGCTAGGAGTGGGCCTGTAAACACATCACAGACTGTTTTGTCTCCTTGCAATTTAACTGTCTTGGCAAAACAAGTGAGGGATGCCAAGCTAACTCCTTACTATTCATTAATCACTGTCGCACTGTCCCTGTTGCATGGATGCTGGCTTAATATGTGGAATTGTGCAGGGTTGTTCGGGGGGCTTTATGGACTATAAAGCTGCCGTCTCTCAACAGAGGCATTTCCTTGTATTCTGAGAAGTGCGCTGTTCTCTGAGAAGTGACTGACTGAATAGAAAGTGAAGTTTCCTGAGAGAGGTTTATTCTGGCACGAGTACACTATAACATGCCCTGCTGCACAGCCATAACAATACCCAGATATTTGGGGTCATAACCCCCTAATTACTGCAGAGCCCAGAAGTGGTGACAACTGCCTGTCAGCGTGGCCTGTGAAAGCGGCTACCTGAGCTGGACCCGGGAGCACCAGGTGACATGGGCCAGGAGCGCTCCAGCACCTCGGATGAAAGGTTGGTGTTATCGGTCTACATCCCAGCACCTGGGCCATTTCAGCACCCCAGAGAGACTTAGTCTCTTGGCTTTCACCTATGCCCCGTTCATGGTTCAGGGAGGAGATGAGGACATCATTTCCCATGTCTGATAGCCATCTGTTCCCTCTCTCAGGTTCTCAATAGCATACTCTTCCTAGCCTGATCAAGGCCTTCTGCACTAATTACAGATCAGAGTCCTGCCCACTATGATGATTAGCCAGAAATAGAGACTTATCATGTTGTCAGTACAGCTCCTGACAGCAAGCTTTCATGTCATCTTATTTGGACTTTAACATTATTGTAAAATCACTATATAAGGTGTAGCCTAAAGGCCATTGAAACAATTCAAGATTAAAAAAATACAAGAATATAGCCTTCATCTACGGGTTACTGTGTTGAGGATCTGAACACTTTTGTTTAATCTTTTTCTACATAGCAAACATAGCAACAATTCAGTCCCATGACAAAACCCTCAAAGTCTAAAAGCGGACTGAAGTGGAGTTAAGCTCGAGTTTACTCCCACCTGAAAACTCTAAATCCGCCCATGGGAAAACTGGGAGGGCCACAAAAAAGCATATCAGCGTGCGGGTGCGCGCCTGCGCGTTCCCAGTGAACTGTGTGGAAGTTTCCCTGCTAAGACAAGAGGACTGCAGCGAGTGGAGTGGCGCAAATCACTGGGATAAAGAGTATACAGCGAACAAAAACCTGAGATGGGAGCGTACATTTATGAGTTTATTATAGAATTAAACTGCTAGCTCTTGTTGGTGTTTGTGGTGTTACCTCACTGGAAAAGTCAACGGCAGGTAAGTGAAATAACTTGACTGGCGTGTAGACATGAGAATTACTTGAGCAATTGTGTCAACCTTTAATTGAGGCATCGTTTTTAATGTTAAATCCACAGGGATAAACCACCCGGTTATAACAAGCGGGTTTTCTGACTTAAACTAATGTTAAATGTCAACATGAAAAAATGCCACAAAGTTTCTTAAGTCTTGTGAAACATTTAGCCTATCATAACTGACATTCATTTTGCGTTTTTTATTTGTCCGATAAATCACTTTTCCTGTAACTTTTTATCCTTCCCACGAGCTCTTGAGCAACAAGATTTGTCAAATGCTTCATTCGCTTGTCAAGATTCAGATCTCATTAAATGATGGAGGTTGAGTTCGCCTGCGGCGCTTTTCACAGCGCGCTCGCGCGGCGTCGGGTGGAACGGCTTCTCAACCAAGCGCATCCCTCCAAAAAAAAGGTTTCCCAAAATATGTGATTCCTGTTAAGAACGCGCGGGAGGACGTGTTTCTGGCAAAATACAAAACCATGTCATGATTAAAGACTTTCCCTTGAACCCGACGCCTGAAACTTCTGAGTCATTTGTAATCGTATCACTAATCCTGTGCAAAACCTGCTGGTGCAAGTGTGTGCAACCAGCTTTCAGATGTTAAACCTCCTGTAACAAGGAAAAATATTTAAAGTCACGTTCTCTGAAGTTGCAGACCCCTCTATTTCTCAGTTTTTGTGGTTAAGTGTGCATCATACCTTGCCCCTGGTGTCTCCATATATCCTAATTAGAAGGGAGAGAGGGTGGTGGAGGTGCATGTGCATGCAGTGAGGTGAAACTGAACAGGATGGGACAAGCTGTTCAAACAGTCCACAGGGGGTGCGAGTGCAAGCTGGTACTTTCCCCAGAACTCCTTGAGTGTCCGCTGACAGTTGAATCAGGGCTTACATTTGTAGCCCCAACAACTTGTTCGATCAGTCAATGCACTGAAGTCATGCTGATGAAAGGAGATGTGAGGCCTGGTGTCAGGTGAGGTCATCGGCCTCAGCTGAAGCTGCTTGAGTTGCTCACTGTTGCAAAACTCAGGGAGAGCACAGATTTCCTGTCTCTTTCTCTGCTCAGTACTGCCTGAGATAAGAGTGTATTTGTTGTCTTGTTTCCTAGGCTGGAATTATTGACGGACCTTTGACCCAGCACTCACTGGAAATGACATCAGCGATTGACTGAACAGAGACTGCTCACCCTCTGTCAGGCCTCCCTCTTAAACCCACACAGCCTCTATGCTCATCAACCTGACTGTGGCTGTCAAGGAGTCTCGCACCTTTCATGGAACACAGCCTGCCCCTGACGCTGTGGAAGTGACAGCCATGGATTCGCGTCTGGTGCTGGTCGCCACTCCGCCACCTCCCCAAGCACCACCACCACCTCCTCCTCCTCCGCCCCCACTTCCACCTGCGCCCTCCTCCTCTCCTTTTACCCGGGTGGACAGTGCACGGCGGAGCCGGCTAAGGAAGCTGAACTGGGAGCGTATCCCCAAAGAGAAGGTGGAGGGTAGGAAGAGCGTGTGGAGTGGGGCGGCCCAGGGTGAGGACGAGTTCCCTATAGACCTAAATTCTCTGGATGAGCTGTTTAGTCAGAAGGACAGTAAGCCTCAGGGCAGAACCAGCACCCTGAGACGGCGGTCCTCTCTGCTGCGCTGCAGATCCCCCCAGGACAGCTCGGAGGAGGTCAGATCATGCAGATGGCAGTGATATTTGTTTATCAGTGTATAAAGATAGTGACATTTCTTGCCCTTTGCTTCTACTTAATTATGTCTTTTGCCTATTTTCAGATCTCCCTGTTAGACTCCAAACGAAGTATGAACATTGGAATATTTCTGCGCCAGTTCAAGATGTAAGTTTCTTTATTCATAACTAGAGCTGCAGGTTTGAGCTTCTTAAATGTGAAGATTTGTAGTTTTTTTCTGTTTTGTATCATTGGAAATTGAACATGTTTGGTTTTGGACCATTGGTCAGACAAAATAAAACATTTGAAGACGTCATATTGGGCATTGAGAAATTGTTATGGACAGTTTTTTTCTCATTTTAAAGACTTAAAAATGTATTCATTAATCAAGATGATAATCAGCATATGGTAATCGATAATGACAATAACTGTTACAGCCCTATTCCCAAAAATCTGGTCCACTTTCAGTTTCAGCTTTGAGCCTTTTTGTCTACATTTGCTAGAGGTCACCATCAACCCAAGACTGAAAGTAGTTTTAACAGCAGGAAACAGAGGTGTTTACACGTGTGCCCAGGGGACCAGTCCTTCACTTGAGTTTAACTGGAGTGTGTGGCCATATTTCAAAGCTGTGTGTGCAGTTTGTGCCAGAAGTGTGAAGTGTCATCAAGACAGAGGATGTCTGGTGTCGGGGAGGGGGAGAAAAGTATATTGCAGGGGACAGGTGCAGGGGAGGGTCCACCCTGAGTGGCTGGACTGGTGGTCTTGAAGGAGGGTATTGGGTAATTGGCTGGGTTTAGCCCTAAGAGTCAGAGTTGACACCTGCTGATTCCCTTAAAGAGTGTCTAATGTTAAGCCTACTCCCTTCTGAGAGAAACCCCACTGGTGGCTCATCATAATCACCCATCCCCCAAAGTTTAGCATATTTTCTTGGTTCAAACAAAGCTTCTTGTAATAGGGCTATTTAATAATTGTTAAAGCAGACTTGCATATAGTTTAATGTCTCAAACATTCTGATTAACGTTTTGATTTTGAATATCATGACAAATGCAGCTTTCGCAGGCAGAAATGATGATACGAAGACATGGAAAATAAGTGATGAGTTGCAATATGCCCCCACATGTGCATCAAATGTTCACGAAGACTCAATTGTGCGCCTCTCAACTGAAGAGTGGTTCTTTTGTAAACCAGATCTGTCGAGACTTGTAGGGAAAGCCATTACGTAAAATCAGCCTCTGGTGTACGCAAACATTTGCCTTGTTGGGAGCTTATTTGTACTCTATTCGAAACACAGACAGCGCTACTGTTGAAATGTGGGTGTAGTTTAAACACAGTTTGTATTGTTAGACATCAGTGTCTGAGTAGTTACTTCAATATCTTTTTATTATGGGATAGTTCCATTTATAGGCTGTGTCACTCAGAGCGTTGTTTTCAATAGGACTAGTTGGGGCAAATAACACAACACACAATAGGAGTTAAAGGGATAGTTTTTTAAGTTTGGCTGTATGAGGTACTTATACATAGTCAGTGTATTACCTGCAGTAGATGGTGGGTTGGTGTGTCTCTGGTTTGAAGAAGCAGAGAGTTGTACTGGCACGAAAGCCAAGCAATGCACTGCTGTGGACTGAGTCAGCAGCAAAATATATTTTAGCCACCTAGAAAAGGCCAACCAAAATATTGTTTCAAGTGTATGCTATTCACAATATTTAAGCACTTTACCTTGCCATCAGACAGCCAATTCCTTTGGAACTACAGTTTCTCAACTCTTTGCATACGTAGTTCCTAGGGCAACTTGGCCGTGCATTGTATAATTTCTCGGGAGATCAGCTGATCCTGTCCACAGAGGTACGTTTTGAAAGGGAGTTCTATTGAAAATGATTTATTCTCAGTTTGCCTTAGATGTCTTCATAGGTAGACCCGGAACTGTTGGTGTCAAAGAATTAAGTATGGATGTAAATGTTGAGCTTTGAACAAGGAGAGCATGTTAAAGAATAAAAGCCACACGCAGTAGCATGCACATAATGGGGTGTGAGCATGTGTGATGGGGCTGTAAGATGAGGGGGAGGGGAGAGGATCATGGAAAATTGCTGGAATAGAGGACAGAAGTGTCACTCAGAAGAAGTAAGTCAGAAGTGAAACAGTCAGTCAATTCAGTTTCTGCTCTTTCACCTTGACAACCCCAAGGCCTTTCAGACATGCTCTCTGCATGTCTGCCTTTTATTTGCCCAGTGGATATGCCACTTTATGTCGCCAATGTGGCGTCAAACAACCCCTCTCTACCCAACACTTTGACTGATAAGAATGGGATAAGCCTAAATATTGTGTGATCAAGGAAAAACAAAGAGCTGATACTATTCATAACAAGAGCTAAATTAAGAGGTGTGGTGCCTTTTCTCAAGCTGAAACCCCCATCGACTCTTTACAATGATGTCATACCATAAATGTGTTGTCATCTTTCCGCAGGCCTGCTAAGGAGATAGTTGAGGATATCAGGCAGGGTGCTGGGGACCGTTATGGAGCCGAGAAGCTCACAGAGCTCTGCAAATTGCTGCCTGACATCGAGGAGGTAAAGTGCCTTTTTTTTTTGGCATACAAATACAACAGTGGCACCCCCTTCTTCTCCCTCCCTCTTCTCTTACTCATCATCTGGCTCTGGTTAGGATGATCAAAAGTTTGCCATTACACCATGTTGTATGATGTGGTCTGTTTCCGGAGAGGGGCCACACTGAAAGATTTTGGAATTGACTGCTGTGTGACTGGCATGTTAGTTTTAGTACTGGAGATTGTTTTGGGGTTTTTTTTGTTTTGTTTTTTTCAATCAAAGCTGCTTTCCAGATTTTACTTAGCATCTGTTCTCTCTCAGGAGTCTCGCCTGAGGAGGTTCAGTGGGGAGCGGAGCTGGCTTGGAGAGCCTGATCTTTTCATGCTGCTGTTGGTGGAAGTCCCCAGGTACACCCTTTGCCCCAGACTGGATACAATCACCAAAAATATCACCTGTACTTTCCAACAGTTTCTTTGTTTTTGTTTTTACTCTTTTTCCTGTTTATTTGTATGTCACTGCATCAATTTGTGATAACGTCTTTGTTGAACTGATGATTCATCAGGAGTGCCTTCTTCATGCCTCCCTCATCACTCACCCCTGTCCACTCATCCATCCATCCCACTCTTTCCCCTTCCATTAGTTTTCGGCTGCGTCTGGATGCCATGATCCTGCAACAAGAGTTTGACCCTGCTGTGACCTCTCTGTGTGTGGCAGCCAGATGTCTGAGGGAGGCGGCCAGAGGTAAAGTCCACAGCAGGGAGTTGTGTGCTCCACCGCAATAGAGACTGAGGTCTGTTTTGGCCCTTTTGAAATGCTATTATTTAGACTGAGTCCAAGTTTGACCTTTGGGAGAAACCTGCTATCAGTTTTTGTGTACGAGTTCAGCTTGCTTGAATGTCAGTTCTTCAAAACAAAGTTGCTGACTCAGGCCTTGATATCGGCTACATGCACATTCATACACATTATTCCTCAGCCTTGATGCACAGTATTGAATCTCTGTCTTTGACTCACCTAGAACTGCTGAGCTGTCCTGAATTACACTCCATCCTTCGTTTGGTGCTGAAAGCAGGGAACTATATGAATGCTGTGAGTACTATTTTTTTTCAATTGAGCCTGCCAAAGTGGAATCGGCTCTTTCTACTCGATCTGCATACAATACACCAGTTGCTATAGGGTCTGGGTGTGTGTTTAGGGGCATCACTCTGACTGTGCAACTTGGTTTTGTATCATTATTTGTTTTCACGTGTGTGTGTGTGTGTGTGTGGTTTCTGACCTTGTATGTGGCTTCTCAGGGTGGATATGCGGGGAATGCCGCTGGTTTCAGAATTTCATCGCTGCTCAAACTGGCTGACACCAAAGCCAACAAGCCAGGCATGAATCTGCTGCATTTTGTAGCTATGGTAAGATCTGACATTTTGGTGCATTAAGAGAACATACTGTAATATCCAACATGTGCTGAGTAAATCCATCTTTTTAACAAAACAAGAATAAAAAGGAGCTTGTTCAACAGAGTGTGTGTTAGACCTCTTTTTTAACAGTGTGAACATTATTGTTTAGGAATAGGATGAGAGGAGGTTTTTTAAGGTTTTTGTAAAAAGCTGGACCTCTAAACTAAAAAGGTATTCATATTACTGATTGTGGGGGGGGAAAATAGGAGGATTTCTTTTTGCATTTTTTTGCAAGAAACAGTCTTTCTGACCACAAAGTGTTAAGAGAACAGTAGCCTCTCAAGCCAGACTGCTCCACAGAGCACATGATTTTGTCAACATTAGCAAATGACGTGTTGCTTCTTTTGAAACAATAGCTGGATAATCATTTGTGTTTGTCTCCACAGGAAGCTGTGAAAAAGGACCATAGTTTACTGTCATTTCCCAGCCAACTAGGCCATGTTGGCTCCGCCTCCAGGTCAGTCCCTTCCCAAAAACTCCGATCCCATCAGATCCCACAGTGACTCAGAGAATATACAAGCCCTGCTAAATAACATCAATACACTCAAACAGGCTGCTAAAACAAGCTTAACGTGAATCTTTGGCTTTCTTGTATCAGAACAAGGAGCCCAGCTGTTAGCAATAACTAGCTGCCTGAGTGAAAGTGGGTCATGACAACATTGATACTCCAAGCCAATATTTAAGCTCTTCTGGGGAGTGTATCTGCAAGGTGCTAAGGAATGACCACCCTTATTCTGCTTCAAAAGTAAAGAGTATCACCCATGCATTGTCTTTTTTAGTATATACATGACAGAACTCAAGTCAGAGTCCATTTAAAAAAAATCATCATTTGTGTATTATATGTCCTCTCTTTCTCGGCAGGTTGGGTGAGGAGTCTGTATTGGAGGACTTATCAAAGTTAAAATGCAGAGTGGTGGCGCTCAAGGAACACATCCAGACTGAGGCAGAAATTCAGCAGCATACACAACCTTTCCTAGAGGTATTAAACATAGTCTGTGATATATTAAAATGTTATCTAATGGTTTACAACCAGCCTATCTCAACATTGTTTTTTTGTTGGGTAATAAATGTGTACGAGAATGCAAATGCCAAAGAACTTGTTTCAAAAGGTGACTGTGTGAACTTTTCCTGTGTGCAGGTGGCTGAAGAGCGTCTGAAGGAGGCAGAGGATGAGGTGGAGGGCATGAGGATGTCTAGTCAGGCTCTGCTGGAGTTCTTCTGTGAAGACGACAGCACCTTCAAACTAGAGGAGGCTTGCAAGGTCTTCCATTCGTTTTGCCACCGCTTCCAAAAAGCTGTCCAGGTAAGATTTAGACATTGGAAATCTGTTGACAGAAACATTATGTTGTCAAAAAGAGTTATATAAAGAGTGATAGATAGAGAGATAGATGCATAGATATAGATTCAACTCTGCACTAAGAGTCCTCGTCCAATAAATTATTCTTTCCCTTTTCTGCAGGAGAATGCAGAGCGGGAGCTCAAAGAGCAGAAACGTCTAGAGCGTCAACGCATGATGGGGGAAAAGCGTCGCTCTCTGGCAGTTTGTACGGGGCTGGAGCTGAGCCTCAGCCTCGCCAGAGAGCCTCACAGTCAGGAGAACCAAGATGAGCTGGAGAAAGTCCTAGAGAAGAGCTTGAGCCACACTTGGAGTCGACGTAGCCTGAGAAGCTCCGACTCCCGCAGACTTTCCCATCAACTCCACAACGATGCCCATCTCCATAACTTGTCCATGTTTAAGAGCTTCCCTGAGCTGGGCAGCAGCCCGACGTCGACCAGTTACCACTCTAGCAGCTCCTCTGACCACGAGACCACCGCTGTGCTTTGTAGTTCCCCAGAGACTGATGGCACATGCTCCCCCACTGACAAAGAACCTGTTCTAGGTACAGAGAGCAGGTCTCAGCACAGCCAAGCAAGTAACCGGAGCATGGAATCAGTTCAGGACTCGGGCATAGCTACATTTAGTCATTCTCAACATGGATGTGGCTTCACACTCAAGCAACATAGGCCTGAGAGCATTTCTTATGTGCTTCAAGGCCAACCGAAGGCAACACGACTTGAAAACAAACCTGGAATTTCACATGAACACATGGTTTCCATGACCACTGAATCTTCAACCAGATCCTCTACAAATTCTTTTCCTGTACCCACTGATGCACCTGCCCTTTGTGTTAAAAACCAGACCTCCACTCATAGACATAGGTTTGGCCTGCCAGTGACAGACACTACTCGCCCTATTCAGAGTAAATCCAGTGGCTCTAGTTTTGATGAGTCTGTACCTCACTCTCGTCATACAAGTGGAATACTTTCTCACAGTGACACCAGGGCTGGGTCGTTAATGTACCAGAGATCTGAGAGCCAATCACAATCATCTGTAAATGCTCCAGAGAGGGTCCAGTCACAACCAGAGACGAGAGAGACGCCCCCCAATATCACAACAAGTGCTCTGATGCCTTTGCCTGATGCAGAATTAACAAAGCACAACAAGACAGAAGTGGCACCCACACCTGCGAAGGAGAATTGGATGCCCTCCAGTCTACCAGAGTTCAACCAATCACAGCCAGAAGAATACTCGGACTTTCCAATTCCTGAGAGGGAGACAGGGAGGTCATACTCCCGTGTGGTTGAAACACTGGAGTGCCACACTCTGGTGAAAGGCCTCCGGTCCTATGACGCCTTGTCACCCCCAACCTCCCCCCTCCCACGACCCGCACCAAGCCTCTGCTCCAAGTGGAGGAAAGAGAGGGAGGGTGACCTTCGAGAGGGGACAAGTCCCGGGTCTCCTACATCAAAGGACGAGACTCGAACCATGAAGATCCCTGTGCGTAGTGGGGCGAAAAGGGGACTTGTGTCACGTGCTGGACCTTCCAATAGTGCAGGCATTCCCAGGGTGCGCTCCAAAACTGAGCCTTCAAACGGAGCCCCAACCCCCACTAACCCCCCCACTCCCAGCCGGCTGTCTACTCCTCGTAGCATATCCATGCGCTCATCTCCTATCGCACAGCCTGCGGCTGTTCAGACAGAGGTGAAACGAAGTAATAGCACACGGGAGAGGACTGTAAGTGACCCACAGACTCCAGGAAAGCCCTACTTGACTCGCAGGACCTCAGACAGATCCGTACCAGACAAGGTCTCAGGCAGCACCCAACCACCCTTTATCAGAGGATCTCCTCTCCGTGTGTCAAAACGACTTGCGCCGAATTCTGAGAATCAGGTGCCCTCCCAGCCTCGCACCGCCCACAGCCCGTCCTCCGCCACGGCCAAGACCATACGCACGGCTGTTATATCTGCTGCCAGAAGTAAAACTGCCAAGACAACAAGCACAAGCACCTCTCCTGCTAGCTCTAAAATCCCGACAGCTTCACGGATACCTGGTCCCAAAATGCCTCGAGCAACCGCAGCTCAGCCACTGTGGAAGTGATGAAAGTGAATAAGTGCTTGTGCTGCACGGTTCTTTCACACTTCTCTTGCCCTTTAATGGATTTCAGTTTATTATATTCAGTGTGGGTATTCATGAAGAGTGTGAGTCAGGTTTCTGGTCTTAATTTAGGTTGTCCTAAATTCGACTTTTATAAATGTGTATGTCGTTGCCTAGTGCCTAGGTTCTACATATGTAAAATGGAGCTGCACTGGGAGCATCTGGGACACTTTATCATGTGCTTCATGCAATAGCAGAATAGTAGATCCTCCAAAACCTACCTCTTTTTACACCCATTTGTGTCCTTTGCAGGCAAAAGGACACCACAAGGAGACCCCTCTTACAGTCACTTTTCATGTGTAGAACAGGTTAACACTTAATTCACGTCAGTAAAGCAAGACCAAGTGACATTACTCTGCGCTTTGAAAGAACAGAATTGTAATTTGGGACACTGTTTCAGTCTCTCTAGCATTAAAAAAAAAGTAGTTGTTTTTTACTGTGACCCTTCCGCTGAGTGATCATTGTATTCTCACACTTGGCTGTCTGACAGTCCAAACTGAACTCGGTACAATATTGAACTGTTCATCCTCTTGTTGAGAGGCCTCATGCACTTTACAAACTGAAGAAGAGGCCGCGAGGTGATGATTACGGACATTTTTTAATTTTATGTCAAAAGATTCTATAACTTAATTGAATAGCATTGGTTGTTATTCACTGTATTATGTTGATTTATAAATAAGAGAAGATGAATAAAGACGGTGATCTGTCATCAGCTGAATTAAAAAGTATGTGTGTGTGTGTGTGTGTGTGTTGATATGTTCTTCAGTTTTGTATTCAGGCGAGCACTTGACAGCTTTCACTTTCAAGATCCCCCCTCTTCCGCATCCAACTGCTGCCCTTGCGTCTTGCTGTCCCCTGTCTTCTTGTCACCCTCATTTTCTCTCTCCCTCTCGTCTGAACTCCCACTTGCTGCATCTCTTGACACAGTCACCCCCCGTCTCTGTCAGTGGCTGTTGTCATGGAAATGCTACAGACGACCCAGGGAATCTCCTGGCAGAATAGTAGGGTGCAAGGGTTGGGGTGGAGGGTGACTGTGGGTGTAGGGTCCCAGTGGGAATTCTGTCTTTATAGGTTGCAGTGACGCCAGAACCTCTTGGGAAAGGCAATAAACCAGTGCCTCTTTGTTTTCTTGAGTGTCCGGTTGTCGGTCAGTGCTGGCCTCTTAACCTGCCCCAGTGTATAGAGGTGACATCATCAACGGGTGTCCAGGGGTGCAGGACAGAGTAGTCTAAAGTAATCCCTCTTTTAGCTTCCTTTAGTGTATTCTGCATTGATCTGAGAGCATTGGCTTCAAGAATAATGACTTGTCTGAAGGTGAAAGTGATTGCTTATGGCTTCGATGGTTTTAAGACCAGTGCTGACTGAGGATGAGGTCCCAAAGACAGGAGACAGGACTGTTGGCCTGTATGTATGCATACACTGTGGCATTTAATGGTGAGAATGTAGCAAGTTCAAGAGAAAGGGTAAAGTCAGAGCAAAAAGTCTGTAGGCCTCCATGCATTCAGATTCAGACTCTTCTTGAAATGTAAAGACTGGTAAAATGCAGGGGCAGCACTTGTAGTGAGATTGAGTGGATTTAAAGTGTTAGATGGGAAGTCCGTAAGGTTTAGGGACACTGTCTTCAATAGTAGTCACTTCTGAGAGATACGTTTTACAGTCTATGGTGTGTAATATATGTATTTTTAAGAGCTAATTATTGTGGTCAAGGGGTCACATTCATGGAAAAGGAAGCGATTTTATCTTTGCCATTATTTAAGGAAAGAAATGCTTTTTGTTGCAGGGGGAAAATGCCATGCCAAACTCCATTCATAAATCTGGCAATTGAATACGATGTTGATGAGAGGCAAATATTTGAGGGTGACTAGGGACTTTTTCTGCAGTGGTAGGGGCAGCAGCAGAACCAAGTACATTTACTCAAGTACTCTACTTAAGAACAGTTTTGAGGTACATTTACTTTAAGTATTTCAGTATTCATTTTAGCATCATTTATTGTACTTGGTACATCACGTTTATTTTACAGATAAAACAAGATTTTCCATTCAAAATATGAGATAATAATATATGAAGCATTTTTCACAGCAACCCTCGTTGAGCTTCACTTTGAAAAACATTAAAATGCTGTAAATGAATCAGTAACAAACTGAAAGGAGCCTTTCTGGAGAGTACTTTCACTTTAGTTTCTAATAAGATACTTCCATATATTTAAATACATTCATGAATGCAGGACTTTTACTTAGCTCTCAAACACTTTTTCCACCAGTGGGTAGAAATCACTATTTTAGAAAGCAGACAAATGATATTACTTGGCCTGTTATTCTGACAGTATATTCTGCATCTTGTCCTCCACACAAACTCTTTTTCAACACTGTTCACATGGAAGTCAGACAATCATATGAAAGCGGAACAGTTTAACAACGCCATCTAGTGTCGTACAAACGACAGTGACAAAATAAAACTACAACTACCAGTTTGCATTGTTTCCGTACGTCGATCTTTACGTAATGGACAGCTCCCCGGATGCGGCTGTGATTGACTATACCAGGCAAAAAGAGATCGAAAGCCAAGTGGCGGTAAGTCACAAAATCCTTAAAATCCCCCTGTTCCAGCAAATCCCCACTTCTGGGACATAAATTAGAACAGAATAGAATTTTTATAGTAAGTTGTAGGATGTTATCTGGCCAGGAACAGGTCTTTTTGAGAAGTGGCTTGGAAATAAACTTTCAACTTGTTTGCTAACTAGCTAGCTTGTTAGCCCTCAAACGCGCTAGTTCCTTAGCTTTAAGCTAGCCACTGGGGGAACGCCTAGAATAATAAGTGAACAGTGCGAAATAATAAACACCAGAAAATTAGCCTTTCAGTTTCGATTCACTCGTTGTTCTTTGACCAAGGACTAGTTATGCAACTGTCCAGATGTTATTAATTAGCGGACGGCTGAAATTGTTGCTAAGTTATTCTCTGTTACGTTAATTACGTCGAGGGGCTAACGTTGGCGGCGGTTAGCTCGTCTGCTAATTGAGTTAAAAGCAGGGTTAAGTAGTATAAACTACTGTCCCAGAATAACTTGAATAGTCATCCGCCTCATCACTGGTGACGATTTGCCTCTCAGAGCATGGATCATTGTTTTTAAGTTTGAAGTTACCCAGGTGCCCTTTTTCTGTTGTCAGGTGCTGCAGCCCCAGTGGTCGTAGGCAGGATGCAGACCATAAAGTGTGTGGTGGTTGGTGACGGGGCAGTGGGTAAAACCTGCCTACTCATCTCTTATACCACAAATGCCTTCCCTGAAGAGTATATTCCCACAGTGTTTGACAACTACAGCGCTCAAATGAGCGTAGACGGCCGCACTGTCAGCCTCAACTTGTGGGACACAGCAGGCCAGGAGGAGTATGACCGCCTGCGCACTCTCTCCTATCCCCAGACCAATGTTTTCATCATCTGTTTTTCCATCGGCAGCCCCTCTTCCCATGCCAATGTCAGGCACAAGTGGCACCCGGAGGTGTCTCACCACTGCCCCAACGTGCCCATCCTACTGGTGGGCACCAAGAGAGACCTGAGGGGTGATGCAGAAACAGTGAAGAAGCTGAAGGAGCAGGGCCTGGCCCCTACCACCCAGCCGCAGGGCAACGCCCTGGCCAAGCAGATTGGGGCGGTTAAATACATGGAGTGTTCTGCTCTGCTGCAGGATGGTGTCAGAGAGGTGTTTGCTGAAGCTGTAAGGGCAGTGTTGTATCCAGTCACGAAAAAGAACCCCAAGAAGTGCGTGCTGTTGTAATAAATGGTTCCCAGATTTGGACTGTGGAGAGCAATGATGGAGATCCACAGATGCAAAGGAAGACTGAGGAACGAAGGTCGTCATCTGGCTGCCTCTATACCACATCCAGCAGTTTAGACTTTGTTTTCAGCTCCTCTGTAACTCCTCTCTTCCTTTCATTCATCTCCTGGAGGATTTCACTTGTTGCCATCATCACCAAAGTGACTATGCCAAAATGGGGGCAACAGGCCGTATCTCCTCTATTTTTCTTACATTTTAACTTTTGATATTTACACTTTTTCCCCCCAAAATTTACATCTGTTCTACATTTATAGCTTCTCTGCTTTTATAAAAAAATGCTGATCATGGTTTTCACAAACCATAATAACATCCAAACCAACCAACCCAGCTACCCTGTTTGACTGGAGCGAAGAGATCTGCCTTTGTTCAGGTGGAGAAATAATGACTACCTCATACTCTCACCTAGGTTGCATCTCATGAGTCTCGAACAGCGTCACCATCAAGATGCTTGACTTGCCTATTTAGATGTAATAAACAGCCAAGTAGAGGGTGAACAAGATTTAATTTCAAGCAGCTTGAGTCCAGACAAGGTGTGATGACTCCCGGACAAATGCCAGTACCCCGTTAACCAATATGCACGGATTAGAGGTTAAACTCCCGAGCTGCAGGTCCCCTTGTGCTCAGTCTGGCATGTTAGAGCTGTCTGGCAGGCTGCTTTTTCAGCCTCCTGCACTTCTCTCTCACCGCCATGCATGGACGAGCCAGGAGGCCTTTGAAGATAAGCCGGGGCCCATTAAAAGCAGCCGACCATTTGCCCTCTTCAGTAATAGAGGAGCAGGTGTTGTAAGGCCTTCGCCAAAATAACTCACACTGGCACAGAATTTCTTGAGCTACATCAGGAAGTCAGGTTGTAGCACAGCTGTCCTTTGTCTACGTCTTAACTCCTGAGGCTCACACCGAGTGCCGTTAAAACATGCCTAAGAATTACTTTTTGACAGGGTGGGGGTCAAAGAGACTGTATTTTGTCTAATGTTGAATTTACTCTGTAAATGATTTTTTTTCCCGCAAATGTTTTTAACCTACGAGTGCGATTATGGCCAAAGTTGAATATATTTTTTGTAATAGCTTATGTGTATTTGATCAGTAAGATGTTTTGTGTGTAATAGCGTAATAGTTCATACTCAGATTTGATAAACAAGAAGTCCACAATGCTTCCCTTGTCATTTACATTGTTGCCTTACATTTTAAGGTCAGCACACTATGACCACTGACAATGACTGATTCAGCATAGCATATAATCCCAGAAGATGTTTTAACTGACTTGTGCTAGGCCATATACACTTCTTTCCTATACTGTCTATGTTAGTGGAATATCATTTCACCTTGGAAGAAGCACAGTGTCGTTGCTGCCTAGTTAATTTTTCTACCATGTAACAGCAATTTATTTACAATATGGAAGGAGCCTTTTGATTGGTCAGGTGCCTTATCTAAACCAAAGACCATAGCAGTGCTCCCTTGTCAAACCCAGAGGCTCTCATTATGATGATGCAAGTGCCCTAAGACCTTTTTTAAAAATGCAGGTCGAACCAACTCTGGGTTTCATTTTTGTTATTTTGTGTAGCTTTTCTGCCTTAGTTCCTGTCAGTAAACACACTCTTGCAGCCCTCTTTGTAAGACACAGGTGCTAAACTGACATCTTTCGCAGCAAGCCTGTTTGCATTTGTGAAACGGCGCACATGAAACGGAGTGCTCATGGCCCACAGCTCTTGACAGATTGTGGTCTACATCCTTGCATTGCATGGTGCAGTTAAGGGCAAGGCACAAGTACAACTTGCAAGTACGGTTTACAAAGAGCTGCGTTGGTGGAACGTGCCTGTCACATTTGAAGATTTTTATACATTTTTTATATATTTTTTTAGTAATAACTGGTTGCTAATTTGTGCTTTCAGCTACCAGTAA